CTCTAAAATTTACAATCTCTGAAATTGAGCCCAAGTACTATGCAGATGGAGAAGATGCATATGCAATGAAAAGGGACTTAACACCCTTTGCTGCACAGAACAATATCGTTGCAGCTGTTGATTTGGGTTCTTCAGATTGTGTTGATGAGAAAGGTATCATTACTGAAAGGCTGTAGGTATAGTGACTGCTGAGTGAGTAAGAGGTAATGATTCTAGAGTGTTACTTTTATCAAAATTTTCTGTCAACATCGCCATTACTGCCGTCATTATCTGGATGCAAGATTCAGCCTTGTAAGAGCTTAGAGCTTTCTGTAAAAATACTGCAGAAGAAAAGTACAAGATTTGTACATATATACATATGTTTATTCAGTCATGTAATATGTATGATAGTTGACTTGGCACATGCAACCATTAGTAAAACAAGGATGGTTGTTCCATGAAACAAAAAAATACTGTGTAACATAAAAAATTACATTTTTCAGAAAATGTTTCAAAGTCACAGTGATAAATAATACAGAAGTATTTACATTTAAATAACTTTGTGTTGTAAAAATTTACACTTCTTTATTCCCATTGATCCACACTTTTACCAACATACAGTTAAACCCCTTGTTCGGGAGATACATACCACAGAAACATTTATACTCAGACATGCCAGAAACTGTACACTCACATCTATAAGGAACTTATATTTTAAGTTATGCATTATGTGCATAAATTATATTTGAGCTACATATAATAGATCACAACCCATAACATTGTTCACTCATGAAGAAACTCTCTTCTGATGTAATTTTATATTGCTGCTTTATATAAGGTGAAAATAATGTTTGTTAAACTCGTTACCTTTTGCTACGCTTCTATTTAAGGGCTCCTATGTTTGTGTTTACAAGTGTCACTGGAGAACAGCCTTGCAGATATCACGTGTCACAGGACAGAAATGGAAACTTATATCTGGTTTAACATACATTTACATGCAAGTTGAAAGTGAGCTCAGAAAAGTATGAAAGTACATGTATGTCCTAACTACTTTAGCCAGGGTACACATATATTTACATTTATTTTATTCTTGGACATCCATCATAATGCTCTTACTTTTGGTTGGAATTATTAATTTAAGGCTGTATTTTCAGATTATGAACCAAATAAAAGAACATCAGCTATGGAGGCATGAACATAATACACAAATTCGGTTAAATTCATCTGAATTTTAAATCATGTGATGACAATAATTTTGATGAATGGTGGACAAAATTTGTATTTACTTAAATTGTGGTAATGTGGAAAACCTCACTCCTCAGGGACCAGAAGATGGCACGAAATATATGAATCAAAAGGTTAATGGTGTGGGGAGGTTTGAGAATCCCTTTAAAGATAAAGAAAGCACAATCATTTCACTAGGCAGAGATTTTATAATCACCTGTTGACATCCTTCCCAGTGTTAGGTGTAGCTGGTCTGTTTATAAGTGTTAAAAAAACTGGAACTTGTCACCTTTTTGGGATCGTGTCAGAGCTCATTCTTTTAACTGTTTTTCCCAACTTTTTTATAGGTCATAAAATATGTTATTGATGAAAGGAGCAATTCTGTCTTAATTTCTTTTGGTTAAAAAGGTGTAAGTAACCTGCCATCTATTTCATGAAATACATTTCAGGTGATATTAATTGTAAGCTGATATATGAAGACTTTTTTGTTTACATATCAGCAGGGTTATTGTAAAATATCTAAACAAAACTAAGATGGAAAGCAATCTGCAAGATTGTTTTCAGTAGCTGTATGTTTTGATAATGACAAGCGCAAGAAAATTAACTATTTGTTGTACTACGTGCCTTTGTGTAGGTCTGTATATTAAATCATCTATCCGATTACTGAGTTGGAAAGCAAGCACTTTCAACTATATAAAAGACTGGCGATGTCACGTAAAATTCATCACCCACTTTTTATGGCAATGTGTTGGCTTTTTATTTCACTAGATGTGGCAGCAGTTTGATGTGGAATGTACTGATTTTCTATATGAGTTAGGCATTAAAATCGATGTTAAGTAGACACACATGCTCTGCTGTTTCCTATTGCATGACAGTGGGCTGCTGTGCAGCTTGAATCATACTGAGCTTTAGGTCCCTCGCAAGATGGGAAATGTCCACAACAGAGTCCACCATCTCCTGCACTGCAGTGACACTTGGAAACTGAAGTGCTGCTTTCTTGGTCTTGTGTACCGTGGCTGCCAGAGCTTCTGACAAGGCATTTGCACACTGCAGTACTCTTGCCCTTACTTCAGATCGCACCACATTACGATGCACAGTGTCACCAATGTGGACTAGTCTGTGTGCACTCAGAACTACAAACTTACCATGTGCAAGGAATACTTTAGGAGGCTGATTGTGCTCAACAGTCTGAAGGAATGCATCAATTGCATGAGTTAAATGTGTGGTGTAAGTTACCGTTTGTGCTGCATAGAAAGTCAGTACCTGCCGATCATTTGGGTCAAGTTCACCATCACCTGATGCTGCTTTTGGTTCACTTATGACAGCAGCTGACTCTGCCTCTTTCACAAGTACATCATAAGATTTCCGAAGTTCTGCAGGAAGAGCATCACGGATCTCTGCATGTTGCTGGGCCACACTTTCTCTAGATTCTAAATTGACATAGTCATAGTCCTCAAGCCATTCATTGTTGTTTCCAGGAGGTGTAGAAGCCCGCTTGAAGAGTAGTGTAGAGTTGCCTTGAATGAAAGATGCTGTTTGGCGCACATCTTCTGTCAGTGCCCTTGCACATGCAACAAGTTGATCAAGAGCATCAGGTGGTTGAGATGCCATTTGTCTTCCCTCTGCATGGTCTTCTTCTGGACGAGACAGAGCATCAATTGACCACTCCAAGCCATCTAGTGTCACAGCTGCCTCTTGAACAAGCCTGTCTGCATCTCTAAGTGCCTTTACTAAGGGTCGTAACTTCACTGCTAGTCCTTTATCTGGTGCTCTTCCTGCATTTCCTAATGCCCCTTCTCCAAATTCAGCAAGGTCATGCAGAGATGTTCGAAGTCTTACCACAGCTAACTTGATATCCATTAATTTTGGTTCAAGTCGTTCCTTACAGCGCCACTGAGGTCCCGCATATGCTAGCAGCTTGGAGATGGCAGCAGTGGCTTCACTTTGCAGCCGAGCCAAGGAATCAAGGGCCGAGTTAAGCTCCAGTGGAAGTTCACGTGGTGTGGGGTTTGATGCTGGCACATCATAGAGCTACAACAGATCACAAATTTTTGCTTTGAATTTGAATACTACATGTACTTTTCCCAAAACTACTGTTGTGTACAATATTCAAGAATAATCTTTGGCTTCATCAAAATGGAGATTTTTTGTGATTTTCTTCAGTTCCTTCATATTAATGCTAGTATATTATATAGACCACTACTACTTCCCTGACATTCTGCTCAGTTCACATTCATAAACATCCATCAACATGACACTATATGATTCTTTGTAACCTGTGCAGTTGGAGAATTGTACTACTTCATGGTGTGGTAGTTAGTTGCAGAGATAATTGTACCTTCCTTCCATCAATATTAACTCTCTGAAGCTGAAACTTATCTTAATAATATTTAAAAATTCATTCTGTACTACAAAGAGAAAACATGTCACCATTACAAAGACTGACTAGGTGGAGACCCAAACCTTGACAGGTTATGGGACTCTGAACTGCACAGGATAAAACAAAAATAACACTGCTAGCAGTCGCAGCAGCAACAGAAAGAGATGGTTAAAAATGTGCATTACAATAATAGACAGGTCTTTTAGTCCTTGGGACATTCAGTTCATGTTACCTGCTGCTGTATCTGATGAAGCTGTAGTTGGGGTCCACCCCTTGTAGGCCGAGGCACATCATATTCTGGTGCAAGAGCAAGGCTGGATCTATTTGAACTGGACATTGAGTCTGCAGTGAGTGAGCTGGCAGAGCTGCTGGGTGTCAGCTGCTGTTGCTGTTGTAGCAGCAACACATTCCCTCCAGCTGGTGCAGTGCCCAGTGGTCGTGGCACATCATAGCTGTCTGTCGAGTCCCTACGACCAGGGGGCGCAGGGGAAGTGCGCCAACATGATTTTGGTGTGTCATAGTTGGCAGGTACTGGAGTGGCTCGAGGAGGAATGTCATATGATTCACTTCCTCCACTAGTATCTAATGGGGTGTCACCAGACCCAGATGAACGTGATGGAGGGACTGAGTATCGACCTAGAAAGTACAAGCAGCATCTGGCAAATGTGACTGAGGCACGTTATATCAACATAACCTTAACATCCAGTGTACAAGAAAAGTTTTTTCAAGTTTACTTTCTAAGTTTTGCTTTGATTTATTTAATGTGGTTATGGCCATAAGTAAGTGGTGCAGTTTACTCAATTACAAACCCATTAGCAAACCAAATACCACAGATATGAGTGTGTAGAATGCCAAAGAAATTGTATGAAAATGAAGTAGAGGTTACATTAAACCTCAAAAGGAACATTAAATTAGAATTTTCTATGTTTATGAAATGGATATAAGTAATATGCAGGTTGTACAAAGTGGCAAACTGTCCACAATGAGTGAACCACTGTAATAGCAGAGCTAAGCATTTGCATATATCACTCATCTCAAGTAATAAACAGTCACTATCTATGTAAAGGACAGAAGAGGTAAAATGCAATAAAGGCAACTTCACTGACTGGAAAACAATACAAACCAACTCCCTCGTAGCAGAACCTGCAGGTTCAACACCAACAACAAACAATACTAAACCAGCATTTCTGCTACCTGTTGAGTCTTTCTGGCACTGTGGACCACTTCCCCCCAAACTGTCTTATTTTGATTGAATAGACAAGACTAATGAAAATATAGACAGTAGGTGTAGTTTTTTCATCATGTTTTTACTGCATTGTGGAAGTAAAAAATGTGATGGAAGAAAGCTTAAAACTTGCAGCAGTACAAAAAAAGAGTAGTCTTCTCAACTTTTGGACCCCTTGGACAGAACTTCCAGACCTCTGGTTGAGAAGAAATGCATAAAATGACATACTACTGGAAAAGTATTACCTAAAAGAAAATTTGCTTACATTCTTTTACATACTGACCTTGATTTCCATCTATTACTGAAATATGTGCTGTAGGTGGTATGTCATATCTGCCTTGATTTGAAATGTTTCTATTTGGTGGTAAATCATACAGGTACACATCACCAAATTTCTGGGGTGTTAGAACCTGAAATATAAATAAAAAAGATTGGAAGTTACTGCTAAATGTCTCCCCTTTTTTCCTAAAGGCAAAGGAAACTGATTTTTAAGGTTTTAACATTTATGAAGGCTTTTTAAAAAAGATGATCTTTGGGTGGAATGTCTGGCTGGGTAATGATGCAATCATGGAAGATTAGACCACATGGTTATGTGGCTAGTTGTGGATTATTCACATAACTTATTGTTTTCAGTTAAATGATTAAAATGTTATATTGATGAAAATACCTCCTTTTATGGTTGTGAAATGCACTCAAGGCAAGATTTCACATATCAAGGAACTTGAGACATGTATATATACATGCAGAATGATTATTAGAAAACGTACAGAATGTCTGGGAAAGTAAACTGAATATCAGGTACTTTGTACAAAAGAAATCTGTAAGAATATAAGGTTGGTTGGACTGTAGATAGCAACTGCAGAGGCTGTTTAATATTGAAGTCTGAGGATTATGAGAAAAGTGCTGGTGAGGAAGTAGTCCTGTTCAATTTCAAGGTACTACAAGGCATTTGTGTGGAGAGACTGGAAAGACATGACATAAACTGAAGGAGAAGAAAAATAAAAAGGTTCAACCAAACTTGCTTGTCCTAAAATATGCCACATAATTCCACTTCTTCCCTGCTATCACATGGCAGTCAAATGCTGACCAGTGTGGTGTATATAGATTTAAAAACTTTCTGAAATGAAATCTGATCATGAAAGGTAAAACACTTTCAATTTTTTAAGAACTGTTAAAAACTGTAAGACTGGTTCACGTAAAGGATGTATCATGAGAATGACTAATACATCACAGGACAGGTAAATAAGACATGCCACTTGAAGTATCACTTCTTTGAAAGAACCACAAATTTTTATTTAGGTTTTCAGTCACATGCTTTGTTCATGTTTAATTGTAATTTAAGCTTTAAAATACTTTATATGCTTTAAGGTGAAACAGCCACTAAGATGGCTATCAAATAGTTTTTCTGTTCTTTTTCTCTGTGATAATTTTTGTTCAATTTTTAGAATTTTGTGGAATGGCAGCCTGATAGCTACTAACTGTATGGTAGTGACATCTGGGTCACTTAGCAGAACTAGATTCAAAACAAACATCCTTGTTTCCAAATTTTTATTTTTGAAAGGAATAGTAGTATCACATACAGCAAGGTTATTTACTTAGTTTATTGGATAATTGCATTACTAACAGTCAGTGTACAGTGTGTGTTCACAGTTTTTGTACAGAGTTGAGACTGTGTACAAGGGTAGTTGAATCCATAACCTCACTTGTGGTTAAAAGTGTGCAGTTAGTTCAGATTACTTAGCTGTAAAAATGTTGCTTATTTAGTGTTTCTGTACAGTATAGTCTTGTACAAAAAAGAAGAAAAAGATTTTGATGACTATGACAGTCAAAAGGTAATTTCTGTAACAAAGCAAACGCCAACACACAGAAATGGATCTTGAAGGATCAAATGCTAGAAAAACAGGCTGTGAACTGAAAAGTGGCCAACAGAAAAACCCATCTGCAAGGTGTAAGAAATTTAGACTATATTAGGAAATATAAATCGGCCCAGTCTGCCAGCTATCATACAAGTAGATTCATTGAACTCTTTGCTTTGTTTGCAAAAGTCCAAGGTGCTCAGAATCCATAAAGAATGTATAATGAAGAAACAGGAAAGGAAAATACATGGTGCTGCAGACTTTTAATTGGTGAGTCAGTAAGATAGAAGTGTTTATACTTCCAAATCACTGTTACTGTAAATGTATTTTCTTAATTTGAATCCAACCTTTTTGTAGTAAATTTTTACAGTACTTTATGAATGAAAGAAAGAAACCTCCGAAAGGAGGTGGCTAAGACCCACACTGGGTTGTAGAGCCAAGGAAGAAGAAGAAGAAGTGAATGAAAGCAAACACAAACCTACGTATGAGTTTAAAATAAATTTTCATATCATTTCTTTCATGACACTGAAATTCAAAATATAACATGTCAAAAAATATTTTACGTCCATAAAATATATTCCTACATTGATGTGAAATCAAAATGAAAGACAATTACAATATTTTTTTTTAAAAAAATGTTAAAAATCTGTGAAATTTTACATGTAAGTACAATAAATATACTGTAAAACTTTACTTTAATTTGACCCAGTAGGAAGAGAGTTAACCATCTTCAATGCATTGACCCTTAAACATGCAATAATTCAAGTTTAATTTTGTTCTCAGAACATACAGCAATTTAATGCTTTAAGCAATCTTTAATAAAAATGTGATGTATTTTGTCTGTAGGCCTAGGCATAGATATTGACTAAGTCTTGGGTTTTTAGTGATGCTTGAACTGCATGGTGTATATGACAGCATAATGTAAAATGATATATGAATCTTGTTTAAATGATCGTGGCCAATTTTTGTACTGTCTTACATTTGCTTGGAGAGAATGAATGAAACATAAATCAAGATATCTCGATATTCGATCTGGGGACCTAATACTTACGAAGCAGGAATTTTAGCCAAATAATAAAATGGACTATACAGGCTTCCTGTAGGTTCTGCGTCCTGAATGAGACATTTCGGGTTCTCACGGCGGCGAGTATGAACATGACAGCCTTGAACGCTGCGCCGTGTAATCTGGCAGAAGTTCGCTGACGTTTCAGGGGTTCCTTCAGGTGCTTCCTGCCTCCATCTGGAGGATCCAAGCACCTCTGAAACGTCGGCAAACGTATACCAGATTACACGGCGCAGCATCCAAGAAACGTCAGTCATCTGAGTCTTAGTAACTTCATGAAAAAACATGTAACATTGAGTTGGTCTCAGAATGTGGAACATCTCACAAGATATTCTGAATCTGACAATCTGACAACGCAGGATGCTGAGTAAAAGGCAGACATCGCCCCACCCAACGTTACCATGACAACGGATATTGCTCTCTGCACCCCCAGTGCCTATCGATTCAAACTCTGGACCAACAGGGATGCTGCGTTACCGAACCACACGACGCCTGACTCTTCCTTATTTTAATGTGTAATTGGGAGCTGGTCGGAAATTGTGGGCTTGTAATTTGCTGATCCGTGAGACCCACGCAATGGGTAATCAATCCCTCCTGTAACTCACACAGACGAAATCCAATATTTCAGTCTGTATCCAAATCTACAGTAACGAGTTCGATGATCCCTTTCTCATACTGGAAGGACAGTACAAATTTTGAAGCTTATAATTAATTATATTTTTTTCAGTTCTTTACTGCTTATCTCCCTAATCCAAATATTCTCTAGAGCATATTATTACAAACTCCGTGTTTCCCTCCGTGTGATCTACAGATATAAAAATTCGCTAAGAACGTTTTAGTAATTCTGTGTATTTCACAATGGAGTACACTTTTTACATGGATTAATAAAGAAACAGCTTTTTATCGGTCCTTCAACTAACTGTTGTAGTTTAGAATTTTCTTGGCTGCAGTTTGTCATGAGAAAGTAAACCTTGCCACGACTCGTATTTCAAACGGAACATCGACTGACTACTTTAATGCCTTCTTGTTCTTTTGTAACGATATATGGGCCCACTAACCACGTAAACCCCTACGAATGTCATACCTTAAAATCGACCTCCGACTTCATGGCACAGGGGTGCGATATGGCGCCTCTCCTACATCGATGGCAGTATCTTTTATTTCGCGTAATATGAATTTGCGAACTGCCTTTCCCTCACCCTTCATACCAAGAAATACCACACCAAAAATATTTTTAAAAAAGCTCATATATATTGTCTATAAATCGCCTGAGCTACGATTGTGACATATCTCAGGTGGCTAGCTCAGGCTGGATTCTCACCGCAGACACCTGGGTCTAATCCCGGGTGACTGTAAGCGAGATTCGTGTTGGACGAAGTGGCACTGCAGCGACGTTTTCTCAAGAGTTCTTCTTTTCCCCTGTCAATCATCATTCCACCATTCCTCTATGTTTATGTGTCACCGCCCATGCGATGTGCGGTAGCCCTGACAAAACAGCACACTACCTTACCTTCCGTCCTAAGTTAGGGGCTTCATCTCTGACCTGGCTTGGCTAATCTCGGAGTGAAGGCAGTTTGGTTTACACGCTCTTTCATTAGTTTGTGATGACGCATCAAATGAGATTGCGATAATGGGTTGGGTAGCAATACCTACACACTACCAATGTTTGTTATGTAATGATGAGTTTGTACCGACACCCGTACCTGCTGTCTGCCCTCTTGCATACGTACATCACGTTCGTTA